AGATGGGGAAATACTATAACCGTGCTGATACACACAGCCCGTAAGTGACTCTTGTGGGTTTATTTCATTGCTGTAGTTACTAGTGCATATTAATGGGTCTTAGTAACAACAAATTAAGAAAAGTTTATTATAAATACTCATATTCTTCATTGGAGACATTACATTTCTTATATAAATTAGAAATATAAAAATACATTTTCACAGACGATGCTCGAAATAAATTCTGAAGTGAAATTCCAATCCACGCAGTACACAGGGAAAATTCTGACAGTCTAGCTGGACAGGGACAGCTAACGGAAACTACGACGGATCAGTGTGCAGAGTTAGGGAGCCCTGTCTCAGCTGACGGGAACGACGACGGGTCAGCGTGCAGAGTTAGGGAGCCCTGTCTCAGCTGACGGGAACGACGACGGGTCAGCGTGCAGAGTTAGGGAGCCCTGTCTCAGCTAACGGGAACGACGACGGGTCAGCGTGCAGAGTTAGGGAGCCCTGTCTCAGCTAACGGGAACGACGACGGGTCAGCGTGCAGAGTTAGGGAGCCCTGTCTCAGCTGACACATCTAGAAAACACCCAGAGCTAAGGCTCAGAACACTGTAGAGGGGGTGGAAGAATTCTAAGAGCCAGATAAGCAGGGCTATGCTGTGAGAGTCTGGCTAATGAGTTACACCCAGAGAGTCTCACCAACATGACTGCCCAAAAAAGACACCAAAATGTGCAAAGTCACATGGGGAAAAGCCCATGAGGTCTCCACCCTACACAAAGAACTGCGGCCGCTAAGTGCAGCGGTGGGGGAGAGGTGGCCCTCCGAGGGCAAAAACACACTAATTGATTGTCCAACGACAAACGCTCAGCCCGGACAACATACATAAAAGAACCACTGTATGGACTTAAGATATTTAGTTATATACAAGTACATACATGCATACAATAACAACTGATTTTTTTAAAAAAAGGCCATGAATTTGAATTAGAGCAGGGAGTGATATATGGGAGGGTCTGGAAAGAGGAAAGGAAAGAGGAAAAGGCTGTAATTAAAATACAATCTCAGCCAGGCGGTGGTGATGCATGCCTTTAATCCCGGGGGTGGGGGGCAGCAGAGACAGGCGGATCTCTGTGAGTTCAAGGCCTGCCTGGTCTACAAGAGCTACAGCCTGGTTCCAGGACAGGCTCCAAAGCCACAGAGAAACCGTGTCTCGAAAAACCAAACGAACAAACAAAAATACAATCTCAAAAAAAAATTTAAGTCATAACATAGTCAAATCCCTAAGGTTCGATGAGAGTCTCACAGATAGACTACAGAGACTATCTCACAGACAGACTACATAGACTATCTCACAGATAGACTACAGAGAATATCTCACAGATAGACTACAGAGAATATCTCACAGATAGACTACATGGAATATCTCACAGATAGACTACATAAAATATCTCACAGATAGACTACATAGAATATCTCACAGATAGACTACATAGAATATCTCACAGAAAGTAGCAGATGAATGCACATTTGAGGTAAATGGCTGAAGTAATTAGCTACCAAGAATACTACAAGACAAATGTTCTACAACTTGACTGTGGTTGTAGTACGCAGCTAAATAAATTAGTCAAAACAAGGAACAGGCTTAAAATTGGTACATGTTTTATTGAATGTAAATTAGACCCCAACTTTATGGGTATAATTATGGCTGGAGAGATGGCTCAAGAGGCAAAGCACTGCAGCAAGTGTGAGGACCCGGGTTCAGAGCCACAAACCACGTCAAGTTGAGCACTATAATCCCAGAGTTCTTATGGCAAAATGGGAGTGGAAAACAGGAATCCAGTCCCAGAAAGCTTGCCGGCAGCTCCCCTGCATACTCAGCAGCCAAACAGAGATCCTGTCTCAAAGCAGCAGAGTAAGAGGACCGAGTCTCAGACACACCAACCAATACCACGACATAAAGAATGTACTCCCATGGGTAAGACAAGAAAAAAAAAAGCAAAGATATTCGTAAATGAGCATACAGTAAGCACTATGTAAATCTAGTTTTCCCTTTAACCATGAATTTCTCCATTAGTCATTTTAAAAAGGAAATTATTCCACTCAAACTAGAGTCTAGTAATTTCAATATTCAATTCAATTATGCTATCCAAATGTAAGAGCAAAATAAATGATTTTCCCTAGCAAAAAGAAATTATAAACATTTCCAATAAAGGGTTTTTATTTTGTTTTTGTTTTGGTTTTCTTTTTTGGTTTTCAAGACAGTGTTTCTCTGTAGCTTTGGAACCTATCCTGGTACTGTAGATCAGGCTGCCTTTGAACTCACAGAGATCCACCTGCCTCTGCCTCCCAAGTGCTTGCATTAAAGCCGTGTGCCACCACTGCCCAGCTTTTGTTTTATTTTTCAAAACAAAAATTTCTCTCCATAGCCCTGGCTGTCTTGGAACCCTCTCTGTAGACCAGGCTGTCCTCGAACTCACAGAGATCCTCCTGCCCCTACCTCCCCAGTGCTGGGACTAAAGGTGTGTACCACCATCTCATGGCCCAATAAAGGTTTTAAATGGTATACACTTTTAATTCCAGCACTTGGGAGGCAGAGGCGAGTGAATCTCTGTGAGTTTGAGGCCAGTTTGATGTACATAGTGAATTCCAGGACAGTCATAGTAAGGACAGCTCCACAGTAATACACTATCTCAAAAACAATAAAAGAAAAAAAAAATAACAGTAGTAACTATATGGAAGAACCCAGGTTCAAGTCCTAGTACAACCACTGTCAACAAAAGCAAGAGAGGGGCTGGAGTTGAGCAGTTAAGAGCACTGGCTGCTCGTCCAGAGGACCCAAGCCCATCCCCGGCCCCATGTGACAACCCCCAACTGTCTCCAGTTCCAGGGATCGGATGCCCTCTTCTGCCCCAGACACTGCACTCGTGGGATTCAGGTGAAACATTCAGACACACAGAATACATCTTAGAAAGCAGCTCTAGGTACCGCTGTCCACAGTGCACGGCCTTCAGCACTCCCACGGCAGCTGTGGTCTGTCGCTCAAAGCCTTGGCCTATGTGATCAGCGTGGGCCCTCGTCCTGTCTTCAAACAGCATCTCCCGAGGCTCGCTGGTTCGAGGTAGATACTGAAGGTTTTTTATTTCATTGGTAGTCCTGTTTATTAAAAGAGATTTCCATTTAAATACTGAGGCTTGTTTCCTTACCAGGCATTTCATAATCACACAATTTCAGACAAAAGGAGATGTTTAATTCTTAAAATGAATAAAGGCAAACAAAAAATCAGACATGTCAATTCTGGAAAATACCTTTCCACAAGTGGCAGCCCTGGAGTGCGGGGCTACTTTGTATGAGACTGAGCACTTAATACGTATACTTCTAGAAGTAACACATTTCTTTCTTTTTTCCTTTCTTTGGGGGGGGGAGGGAGAGGGGGGTTTGAGACAAGGCTTCTCTGTGTAACAAACAGCTCTGGAGATCCTGGAATTCACTCTGTAGAACAGACTGGTCTCTAACTCACAGAAATCCACCTGCCTCTGCCTCCCGAGTGCAGAGACTAAGCGCACCACTGCCTGACTGACATATGAATTTTTAAATAGATTAATTCAATATTCACACGACACACGCCGTAGGCCAGGTGCTATCTAAGCACCTAGACTACTAAAGAGACTACAGTACAGAGGAGGGTGCGACTCTTAGGAGAACCTCAAAGAAAGACAAAAGAGAAAAATAGCAAAAAAAAAAAAAAAACCATCCCCCTACCCCCCTTAACAAGAGGCAGTGGGTGCACAAAACAGTTTACTAGAGGGGGAAGAAAGTCTTCATCTTCCACTGGCCCTCCTGCCCGTCTTCTGCTCAGGAGCACTAAGAGCCTCGCACGCAGAGGCATCTCCACTCCCTCCCTCTACAGCGCCTCTGCCACTCTCTCCTCTCTCCTGTCTGTCCTGTTTTGAGTCATCCACTAGCTGTAACCCCCTCTACTGCCTGCTGCTCCTCCTGCATCCCTGCATGCGTCTTACCAGACTCTTTGAGATTAACATTCTACCTGTGTCGGAAACACAGGAGGTTAACAGACATCAAGTGACGTCACACTCAAACCCCTCACTACACAAGCAGCACTGTGCAGGCAACCACAGCTCTGAGTTCAGGACACGACTTCCTCGGGGTCCTCTCTGCTCTGGTCTTACAGTACCAACCTTCTGGGTGATGGGGTGTTATTAGTGTCCATTAGGAACACTCACTGACACTTACTCGGTGCACTGTGACCAGCTACCAGCAAGGCAGGAGGAAGACCAGGCGAGGCTGACAGGCAGAGAGAATCAATAGAGAGAAGGAGGAGAGGAAGACTCCAGGGCCACCCATATACACAGCCAGACATGGAATACGAAGGAAAGAAAAGACACACAGAGAAAGAAAAGGAAAAAACCCAGAGGCAAAGGGTAGATGAGATAATTTAAGAAAAGCTGGCAAGAAACAAGCTAAGACTGGGTATTTATAAGAAGGAATAAGCCTCTGCATGATTTATTTGGGAGCTGGGTGGCAGGGCCCCAAGAGTAAAGTGTAAAGAGTCCAAAGAGTAAGAACAACCTACTACATACCCCTAGCTGTAATTTATCCTCATTCGCTTACTTCTCCTGTTTCACTTGTCTTGGATGCTTTATAACCAAGCACGTTACCACACTGCCGAGCTCCTACTGAGAGAGATGAGTACAGACCTTTTCCTCTTGAAGGGCGACTTTGGCATGTCCGCCACAGGGATCATCTGCTCTCCCGGACGCACCCACATGATGGGGCCGTCATCGCTGTCTTTCCGACTCTCCAGCTTTAGACTAGATAGCGTTCCCCACGGCAATGTACACTGGAAACAAATAATGGCACAAATTGGTTATTCTCAAAATATATCTTCAAATATGTACTAAAACTATTACGAGGATATGTGGGTGGGGTAAGAAAGAGAGGGGTAAATAATGTAATTATATTAATCTCAAAAAAAATTAACAGCTGACCTGAGAGTCAGCAGATGAAACAGACTGATAATTTTAAAAAATTCTAATTCTAATAAGAATCTTTACCTTGTATTAACAAAGGCTAAAATTAGACTGGAGGAAAACTGTTTCCCTTTTAAACACACATTCATATCCAACTTAAACCCACCCCAGCCAAAAAGTCAAATGCATCCTTAATTGGTGATAATCAAATACTAATGTCATCAAAAAACACACAAACCAATCAAAATATTTGTTTAGTAGTTTCTTGACAAGGCTGCTGGTATCCCCTCCCCCCCTTTTTTCTTTTTTGGTTTTTTGAGACAGGGTTTCTCTGTAGCTTTGGAGCCTGTCCTGGAACTCACAGAGATCCTGCCTCTGCCTCTGCTGGGATTAAAGACGTGCACAGCCACCACCTGGCAGGACTGCTGGTCTTAAAGCAGTGAGGGAGGAGGGAGGACAAGAACGAACACCAGACGGAAGGACGGAAGGACGGAAGGACGGAAGGACGGGTTGCCTTCACCACCTCACTGTCCCGCTTGAAGAAGAGCTAAATTTTCTACAAACAAGCAGAATGCTTAAAATAAAATTCGAAGCAACTATTTCAGCAGTATTCTAAAAAATATCACTTTATAATGATTATACTGAAAGTACTTGCTATGACTAACTGGAAGAGAAAAAAGAAACAAAAAGTGTAAAAGCTATAAAGGGGGAAAAGAAAGAAAAATAAAATAAAGTCAAAGTAGACCACAGGCTATGTAAGCACACGAGCAGGCAGGACACAGTCAGTCACGCAATGGCTCAGGGAGTCAGCTGGAGAGCAGCCCCACATTCTGCTGTGACTACGGCCCTACCTCTCGGGAGGGCCACTCATCCTTGAATTATTGCTTATTAAGGAACTAACTACACAGTTCAGACACAGTAAGAATGCAGCAATGCAGCAGCTGCTCCAAAACAGAAGGGAGGGAGAGCCGGGCCGCAAGGCAGTGCAGCAGGAGAGCTCGGCAAGAAACTGAGGCCTGAGTCCGAGCCTCATAACTCATGCAAATGTGAAAAAGATGAAATTTAAGATGGAAGAGACGGGGGGGGGGGGGTTTAGGGGTCCACAAAGTTGTCTTTTGACAGCCACGTGTACCTCATGGCCCGTGTGTGTGCCCCAAACCCATGTATACTAATAATAATGAATACGTTTTTTTAAAAAATATAAAATGGAAGTTGATTAGAAAAATTTTAGAAGCTATAATGGAGCATGGCTATAATGGAGCATGCGCTGAATGTCTGATAACTGTACAGCTCCCCAGGCCAGTCCCACAATGTTCCCACCACACCTTGGTTCCTACAATGCTTACTAGGCATCCTTCCTACTCATCCCAAATCCTCGTACTTAAACACATGCAGTAACAAGCAATGTTATTTGCTGATTCATCCTTTAACTTTAACTCATGAAGACTGAGAAATTCTGGCGGTGGTGGCGCACGCCTTTAATCCCAGCACTTGGGAGCCAAAGTGAGTTCCAGGACAGTCAGGACATTTTCACAGAGAAACCCTGTCTCGGAAAACAAACAAACAAAACAAAAAAATCTGAGAAATTGCATGTATACATAGCACAAGATTACTTAAGGTTTCCTTTTTTGTCCTTCCTTCATTGAATTTAAATAAAACTTTTTAAAAAAATAATTCTAAACAACCATTCATCTGTATCAACTATAACCTGAAAGTAACACCCGCAACTTAGAAAGCTAAGACTTCCCTTACTTTTAAAAACGGCGACTCCTCCAACATGTCCAGGAACGCAGGGAAGAAGTCTCCTACTTCTTCATCAACGGCTCCCACCAAGCTGATCTGCCGCATGGGGCCAGCTCTGTAAGTACCGTGAGAATATGTTCTTTTTACCTGGGGGACATGAATTTAATTAAGTTAAATAAGTCAGATATATATACATATGAAGTGTTTGTTATTGTCGTATAACAATGAATTACATCACTTTAGACTACTAGAACATAGCCAGAAATAAAGAAACTACAAGGCAGAAAAGACAAAAGAAGCCTGTAATAATGAGGCATTTTATAAAAAATATTAATAAGTCAGCTAATTTTAGTTTCTTTGTCTGCAAACTGCTCATTAGAAGAGTTGACATGAACGACACTGTACAGACAACCAACTGCACCGTCTCCTACAGCATAAGAGTTTGCTGTTTGATACACAGTGCTACTAAAAATATTCAAAACAACACACCGTTTTTCTAAATAGACAGCTCTTATCTTCTACTACAACTGTCAAATTACCCACAGTACTAGTGGTTAAATGTCAAAAGTCACTAAGGATTATCTTTCATTTTGGATCAAGAGTTTCACTAGCAGTCAGTTCACATTTCTATCCTGAACTCTGATGAAATGGTTGAAACTCAGAGCTGGAAATCCTAAGCCACAAAATCACCTCTGCTATCAACCAGCTAACTTCAGATACCACAAAAAGTCCTTCTGCTCTCTTTGTGACCCCAGATTATAGAAGAAAAGATAATGCTCACTACATAAAGCACCCATTAAACGATGCTAGCCACTGTGTGACATCAAATGTCCAGGACAGAGCGGCCTCTAGCTGTGGGTTTGCTGACACTTGGACAGCACAGGCTCATTTGCTCCCCACAGACGACGGCGTTGTACAGAGAACACAAATGGGAGGTGTCATTTCAAGCTTCTTTTCCTACACAAACTTTAATCAAAATCCCAATTATCACTTTTTTTCAGAAGTAAGACTTGGTGGCCACAATATGTAGAAGATCACTGATTAGTTTGCCCAGGACTGATCTAGTTTAAACCAAAGTCCTGTAATACAAGCAAACCTAAATGGCCACGCTTCTGTTATAAAACCTAACAACTGCAGTGGCATAGTATTAACACATGCAAAGTGCCAGTTCCAGCCCGCATACCTGAGGAAACATGACAGTAAATATTCTATTACTCTAGAATAACTCTAAGACATCAGAATTTCATTTTTATCATAATCAACAAGCATTGGTTCTTTCCGTTTTTATCATAATGAACGTTTATTTAAGAACTGTAAGTTTAGGGCTGGAGAGATGGCTCAGAGGTTAAGAGCATTGCCTGCTCTTCCAAAGGTCCTGAGTTCAATTCCCAGCAACCACATGGTGACTCACAACCATCTGTATTGAGGTCTGGTGCCCTCTTCTGGCCTGCAGGCATACACCAGAAAGAATATTGTATACATAATAAATAAATAAATAAATATTTAAAAAAAGAATTGTAAGTTTAACTTTTCCATTATCGGTCAAGAATCACTGCTCAGATTCACAAACCAAGCCCCAAGTCACAAAACGTACAGGTCACACTTCATCTTACAGTGAGGGTCTTAATCTTCTCTGTCTCCTAAAAGGTCCCGCCATCCCTCATCAGTGGTTCTCAACCTTTGGGTTGTGCCAGGTGTTTACAATACGATTCACAACATAGCAAAATTACAGTTATGAGGTAGCAACGAAATAGTTTTATGGTTGAGGGACACAACATGAGGAACTGTGTTAAAGAGTCACAGCATTAGGAAGCTGAGGACCACGGCCTACGGAAACAAACTGAGAATCTAAACTTGACTCTTCACCACTCTCAGGCTCCAGGAGCTTAGAGACATCGACAGCATCACAGTAGGGAACCTGGTCAGAGTGTGGACAGTAAGGTTGTCTTGAACAAAGCTAAGGTTACCAGTCTGAACGCTAGTGAATACCCCAGAACAACAGTAGGGAACCTAACCATAAGTGTGGTCAGTAAGGTCATCTTGAACAAAGCCACGTCGCCAGTCTGAAGTCCAGCGAACATCCCAGAATAAAATACGAAAACTATTAAAGGATTCTGCATTCATGCACTTGGTTTGAGATCTACATGTGATCATATGAATTATAAGAGACCGCAAAGCTATTGAAAAGAGAAATTAGGGCCAAGGATACAGATCTGTGGAATCCCTCGCCTAGCATTTATAAAGTCCTGGGATTGATTCCCAACACAGGTGGGGAGCAGAAAGGGAAGAAGTAAGATCAACTTATGTTATAAAACACAAATTTACCAAGGGTTTTGAAATGTAACAAAGGACAATTTAGGGAGCTAATGTTTCTATGTTACACAGGCAGTTAAGTTTCTTGTGCATACATTTATTTAAATCAGATACCTGAGTATCACCTATGTCACTAATCAATTCTAACCACCAATAAATCCTTAGCACCCATGTACAAACGAGACAAAACACCAAATCAGAGGCTGGGCACCGGAGACGCACATCCCTTCAATCCCAGCACTAGGGAGGCAGAGGCAGGTGCATCTCTAAGTTGAAGGCCAGCCTGGTCTACAAAGCAAGTTCCAGGATAATCAAGGCTCCACAGAGAAACTTTGTCTAGAAAGGGAGGGGGGGCTGGAGGGACAGATCAGGGGTTAAGAGAGGACCCAGGTTCAATTCCCAGCATCACCTGGCAGCTCACAACTGACGGAAACCCCAGTTCCAGGGGACCCAACAGTCTCACACAGACATACATTCAACCAAAACACCAACAAAATAAATAATTTTTAAAACTACCAAAACAGAGGCTGGGTGGTGGAGATACACACCTTTAATCCCAGCACCTAGGAGGCAGAGGCAGGAGGATCTCTGTGAGTCTGAAGCCAGCCAGGTCTACAAGAGCTAGTTCTAGGACAGGTTCCAAAACTACAGAGACACCCTGTCTCAAAAAACAAAACATTATTTAAGTTATGAAAAAAGAGATGAATACATGTACACTTTACTATATCAAATAACAATAACCCATTAAGTATTAAATAATGTATATAATTTTCAATTAAATTAATTTCATTAAATAACATAAAAGAATTTTCAATGAGTGAATTCTTCTCAAGTAGTAAGCACACTTCAATATGAGTTCTCCCGAAGACATGATGTTTAATACTCTTCCATAGCAAGAGAGAAAAAAAATAACTTTTTATACTAGATGCCATGACTGCATACAAAAGACATACCAGGAAAGAACACTGTAAAGTGAATTTAAGGGCGACCTAGGGAAGGGGAAATAAGTCTAAAATTATACATTAATTTAGCCAGTGTGTACATGAAGGCACACTGTTTGAAATAATTTATTTCTCTAATAAGTAAAAGCTGGCTTCTGCCCCACTATCACGTAACTTTTTTTTTTAATTCAGATAACTATTTCCACTCCACAAGAAGGAGGGAAAAGGCTGGTGTGTGGTGCACAGCTTTAACCCCAGCGCTCAGGAGTCAGAAGCAAGCAGATCTCTATTGTGTGAATCCATCCCGGTCTACATAGAGATTCCAGGACAGTGAAGGCTGAGCCAGGTACACCAGCACAGACCTACGGGGGAGGAGGCACAAGGTACTGCGAATTTGAGGCCAGCTGAGGAGGAGTAGAAATATTCAACTCCAACTAAGCTTTAAAAAATAATAGCTAATACTCAGAAAACCAAGGTTATTAACAAATTTAACATTCTGCCCCTATAAAGTAAAATCTGTATGCTTAAATATAAATAAATTAATGTATCATTAACAGAAAAACTGGGTAAAACTTGTTAGAGATTCTAGGGCAAGAGGTACGCTGTAACAGTATCTACCTGCTCTGACTGGACCTGGTCGCTCCAGATGACAGTGAGGAGAACTAGGGACTCAGACTAGAACGGAAGCCCCACTGGAGATGCGGCTCCTGTCTCAGGCACAGTTACAGCCATCTTTCCGGTCAGATCAGAGGGATTTAAAAACCCACAAATTTTGAATGGAGGAGGAACAGTGACAGGCACAGCTGAACCGTTCATTACAACACATCAGATCATTACAATGACACACGGGGCAGAATGGGAGCTAAGTTACGGTGCATGTGTTCTATGATATGATATGATATGACATGACATGATATGATATGATATGACATGACATGATATGATAGCAAAGATAAGACTATATCTTCAGTAAAATCTTGGCAACATTAATTAGGGGGAAAATATCACTTATCTGGAAAACCCCAAATCCTGATGAACAAATGGAACACATTTACTTCCATTTACTTCATCAAACCATCAACCCATTACTTTTGATACATTTTTAAAACTTAACCTTAAAAAAATACCCCAAAAATGTAACTATTTGCTTCTAAAAAGTAAATGGAATGAATTATAAAGACAATCCATATAATTTCTCTAGATTTGAGCAGGGGATTGATAAACAGAACTCAAAAAAGCATAATAAAATACAAGCATGATACATGTAATCATATTTTTTTGCAAAAGCTTATGTATACAGTGTCATTTATAATGTATACATTTTATACATGTATAAAGTGTCATTTAGAAGACATGTAACAAATGTTCAACCTCACTACTCACTCAGAAACACGATGAGCTGCAGGATGGAGTGCAGGGCAAAGCACCTAGCACACAAATATGCAAACCTTCCCGGGTTCAAATGGCCCCCCAGGCGGCATGAAGCCAAACGCACTGGTAAATCTAATTCTTGCCTGTAGTCTCCCCTCTCCAAAAAGAAAACTGTATTGTCATGGCTACACTTGGAAGGCAGGGGCAGGTGGATCTCTGAGGTCTAGGCCAGTCTGTCTACAGAGCAGCCAGGGCTACACAAAGAAACCCTGTCTTGAACCCCAACTTACCCCTGCAGGACCAGGAAAGCCCTATTCCTGAGACCCTCTCTCCAAACCCCGCCCACTCAGGGCGTCTCCAAAGGAGGAGCCCAGCTGCACAATGTGGCGGAGACACCATCTCCCCTCACCTATAACCTATAACCTATAACCTATAACCTATAACCTATAAAATCTCTCTGCTTTCCTCTGTGGGCACGGCTTCTCCAGCCTGGATCTCTGCGACTAGAGAACACAATGTGGCGGAGATATCATCTCCCCTCACCTATAACCTATAAAATCTCTCTGCTCTCCTCTGTGGGCATGGCTTCTCCAGCCTGGATCTCTGGGACTAGAGGACACAATGTGGCGGAGACACCATCTCCCCTCACCTATAACCTATAAAATCTCTCTGCTTTCCTTTGTGGGCACGGCTTCTCCAGCCTGGATCTCTGGGACTAGAAAACCTGCCTGGAGTTGCTTTGCTCAAGTAAATCTGTTGTTATAATTTTTCAATTTGGCTCACTTTATCAGTGGAGAAACCTATTATGGGGGAGGGGTCAGAAAAGCTATTACTTATAACACCTGCATGATACAAAAAAAAACCACTGCATTCATTCTAAAAAGAAATCACGATCAGATATAAACTCCTAAGAGCTAAAGCTACTTTTGTCACAGAAAGACTGCTCCACTGGAAGGACAAAATGATAATGAGGGTTTAGAACATGAGAAGTGAAAACCGACTCACATGAAACAGCTTGCTATTTCCCGGAGTATGTTCCTTGAAACCAGGTTTCTATAATCAAGTAAGTTTGGAAAATCCTTCTGCAATAAATGCCCATATGTATGCTAAATTTCTGAGAAGACTCAGCAAATAAACCAAATTTGTCTGATCTAGGAATTTACGTGTTTTGCCCCATCTGCGAAGTCCCCCAAAAACCAACAAGGAGACCGGGTCCCGTATGTAAAAGCAAAGAGCCCTTATTTTATGCAAGTTCACAAACTGTCTCTCCGCATGCCCAATGTACTGGAATAAACAGAGAGCCCCGAGCTCAATTAGGGTTGGGTTCTTATAGTATAGTAAAGGTGGGGGTGAGGGGTTTCTGAGGTTCAGGACCCCTGATTGGCTGACACTTGTCTAGGGGTGTCCTGGTGAGTGTACTGGCAGGTGATCCTATCTACAGTAGTTGGAACATTAGGCATTTCCTCTGGATCTGTTCTTGGGTGGTGCTCAGGTAATCTTAGTTTGTGGTTCTTCCTGCAACCAGGTATTGCTCCAGGGTAAACTACTGAGACCCAGGCCTCTGTCAAACTCCTGGATGGCTGAGTCCTACTCTGGCAGGTGATAATGGTTGGAAGTAAAAAACTTCCTTTGGGTGGTCTGTTCATATTTAGCTTATCATGGCCAGCTCCTACAGCATGAACTATTTTTATTTCAAAACCTGTTTCGGTATGCCAAGATATCAGCAGCAATCTGAACAGCAATCCACAAACACTTAAACACACACACACAAAACACCTACAACACACACATGCCAACCTGTATCAGTGTCAATCTGGAGTAAAGAGAAAGGCAGGTTAAATGCTGGTGCTAAGAGACCAGGGAGTAAAGCAGAGCTGCTCTGTCTCGGTTTTAGGGAGTAGCGCAGAGTCCCTTATTTTACTTAAGTCGGCTGTCTGCCACATTACTGGTTAACATTTATTTTTGTTTATTATTTGCTAATATAGTGGGTGTAATATGTTCATGGGAAAGGGAGACAGGGATTTGGGATAGGGTTAGTGTAATTATTCAGCCACAGATAAGGCTGTACTTCAGGTCCTAAAGGTGAGCACTGTAGACGGGCCCTAAGCCTGAATGTTAAAGGGCCCCCGTGCAACCCACGCACGCACATGCGTGGTTACATCCATGTATGCCTCAGCTAAACCCTTGAGTGCATGCGTGAGTCGCCCGTAATCTGTGTCATCAGCGTGTGACATAGTCACTCCAACCCCCTGTGCACATGCACTAGGCAGCTTTTAAAGGCTGGACGTGCCATCTCTCCCTCTCTCTCTGCACACAGATCCCCAGGCCTGCATGCATGCCCTCTAATAAACTCCTAAGTGGGTTTGTTGCATGTTCCGTGTTTCCTTCTCATTCACGCCAGGTAATTTCAGTTACTACATGTGTGGATGTGTCAAGGCACATGCAGTGTGCAGTGTGGAGGTCACAGGACAATCCATGGGAGCGCTGATTCCTTCCACCACGTAGGTGTCGGGGATCAAACTCAGGTTAGGCTTGGTGGCAAAGCCTTTACCTGTTAAGTTACCTCCCTGCCCCCTCCCTGCTCCACACTCTTACTGATGCAGTCTAACCACCATCCGATATAAAAGAAAGAGCCACAAGAGGGCGCCACTTCTAACACACGCTTTCAAATACAATCAGGATGATGATATTTAAGGGCAGGGTCAGAGAAGCCATTGTCTACCTCAATCTTCCCCACCTTAATTTCTGACTGACCAGACTGGCTTGCGACCAGACCTCAGGGACCCTCCTGTCTCTGCCTTCCCAGCACTGGAATCACAGGAGAGCTCCGCTGCTGTGGGCTTTTCTTAGGGTGCTAGAGACAGAACTCAGGGCTTCATGCTTAGATGTTAGCGCTTTACGGAAGGACACAACTCCTCAGCCCCTTATTCATTTTATTTTAAAAATACCTGTAACTTCAATAAAAGTGCTATAAATATTCATTTTTAAATTTTAGATGATAGGCCACGTGTTAACTTGACTTTTAGATAGGCCACGCGTTAAGTTTTAAAAAGCTAAAACTCAATTTTGTGTCTAGTTTCTAAAATAATGTTCTGTAGGAAAGAATAGGAAATAGAAATAGTGTAAAATACTTTGGTGGTTTGGATGAGAATGGCTCCCTAGGTTCACATCTGAATATCTGTTTCCAGTGGGTGAGCTGTTTAGGAAGGGTTAGGAGGTGTGGCCTTGCTCCAGGGCCACGCCTGCCTGCCTGCCTGCCTGCCTGCCTGCCTGCCTGACCCCACAGTCCCCACCGTGATGACCATGGACTAGCGAGCCTCCAATTAAATGCCTCCTTTTATATGCTGCCTTAGTGACGATGTATCTTGACAACAACAGAAAGTAAGTAAGGCAAATGCGCACTCATGTTTTCACAAAATTATATACTAAGTAGTGAGTACTTGGTATTACAATATATGTATACCGGCTGGCATGGATTTAGCACTAACTTGATGGACCCAGTGCTAAGCATTTACAGGGCATTACAAAGGAAACAGCTAGAGGAGATTTACAGGTTTAGAAGAAACTTTTAAAAGTACTGGAAAATACCTGGTTAAATTAATTTTACTTGGTCCAAGTGAAGTCCTTGTCCAAAGAAAAGGGGGGTGGGGGGCAGGAAATGAACCCAGAATCTTAAGTATTTCACTGACTGATTTTTAAGTAGAATAAAAAAGCAGAAATTAAAATTTAAAATTATAAACTCATGTCAAGAAGTTACTCCCAAACAGCTGCACTATAGTCTTCCATTTTACCGCAAACCTACCGTAAAATTAAGAGGAAAACATAAGTCTATCTAAAATATACAATTAAAAGCTATTAAAAAAAAAACCCAAAAACTAAAAACCTCTTACCTGAGCGTGAAAATTGGACATAGTCGTCGTCTCTATATCTTTCTTTCCCAATATCTCCATTTTCACTGGTGAATTGGGAAAATTATATGAAAAGTAGTCTAAAAAGTCGGGTAAGTAAGTAGCTGCCCCATGAACAATACCCATGACATAGAAAGCGGCAGAACTTTCATTTTCACTGAACACTAACCCCACAAATTCTTCTGCAAATCTCTGCATCTCCACAGGAGACAGGCAGGAGAGCTCATTACTGTAGGCGTGGACCACAGACGCCCCTCCGTTAGGCTGGTGCTCGACATGAACGAGCCGCTTGAACTCCAAAGTGTCCAACCGCTTCAGGTTATGCTGAACGCGTGGTTCCTTCAGTGAGACAAATGGAGATTCACTGTTACCAGAAATTTTAGAATCACAGTTCTTGGCGTTTAAATGTTTTCCAATGTAATCCTTTATGTGATCATTTAAGATGCCTTTGGCGTCCTGATCCTCGGCATCAGACAGCAATCCCGCACAGACGGTCTGAATAGACTTGCTGTACATTTTTGGGCGCTTCCGCTTTTCATTCTCTTTGTGTTTCTTTTTCTTTTTCTTCTTTACTTTCTTAATTTGTAAGTCTTCCATATTTGTTTTTGATTTCTCCTTCCCACCTGTTGGGAAAAAAATTTTTTTGAAACTCCGTATCTTAATTACTTAAAAAAAAAAATGCTTTTAGAAACTGTTTTGTTATAAGTAAATTTACTCCTGACACTTCTGAAAATCACTGACATTCATTTTCTATTCTAATTTTACTTTGTCTTTCCTTCCGTCTCATCCACTCCCTGCCTTTCCACACACAGAGACCCAGCAACTGCTGGGCGCTCACCCAATGCGCGCATTTCAGAAGGTAGAAAGCAGGAGCTCAGAAACAAATGTCAGCAATACCTTTCAGATACTTCTCATGGATGTTCTGTAAAGTTTATTTTGTCTGAGGCTTTAAGAAAATCAAATGCAGCAAGGCAGTGGTGGTTCACACTTTTAATTCCATACTTAGGAGACAGAGGCAGGCAGATCTCTGTGAGCTCAAGGTCCTCCTGGTCTACAAAGCTAGTTCCAGGACACTCAGAGTTACTACACAAAAATACTGTCTAAAAAAAAAAAAGAAGAAGAAGAGGAAGGAAGGAAGGAAGGAAGGAAGGAAGGAAGGAAGGAAGGAAGAACGGACGGACGGACGGACGGACGGACAGACTGATCATATCCAGAGGCCCAGGAGACTTATAGTCAGAAGCATTCCATAGTGAGACATCCGCGTCAGAGCAGGGCACAGTACACAACACTCCAGTCCCTCCTCAGTAAGCTACACTTGCATCTGCCCTAGTCCATGACAGTGTAGAGTTCCAGGTCAAAACTCAGCAAGAGCTCTACAGGAGATGACAAGATCAGAGCCCTCACACACTGTGTTCCAATGACGCCCAGGTGACGGTAAAGAGAGAACACAGAGAAGCAGAGCAGAAGGGCAATACAAGCTTACATACTGAAGAGCTTCTGTGAGCAAAAGCAGCAGACCCTGGGTCAAATCCCAGAAACTCCAGGAATAAAAGACTAATCTACATGGGCTATTTAACTTGAAAACTTATGTGTACACAAAAGCACACGCATTATTTACATGTACACACATAATAATATTTCTCTATTTTTCTTACATAGAAATGAGCACACTATGAAAATGCATGTGTGTTTGAAAAAAAAAGCTTCCTAAGAAGTATTAAAAGGACAACAAAGTAACAACTCAGAAAGAAGACACTGTTTCCTTTTGGCTTTTGTTTGTTAAGTATGTCTATGTACCACAAGCCCTTGGAGACCAGAGGAGAGGTCAGAGCCCTGAAGTGTACAAATAGGTGTGAGCCTGCACAAGCCTCTGAAAGAGCAGCTAGTACTCTGAACCATGACTCATCTCCCTAGCCCCCCTTTGAGGAGTTCTGTTGTTGTGGTTTTTAAGGCAAGATGACACTGAACATGATCAGGACCCTGCTGACTCCGCTGCAGAGACCCCAGTGCTGAGGCACAAACCTGAGCCGTACACTCAGCTTTATTACTCTGTTCTTAGGACGGTCCATATAAAATTATCCCAACCTGCCTATTTTGGGGGAGTGGGTGTGCATTTTTGAGATGAGTCTCAAACATGGCACACAACTTGGGATAACCCTGAACTTGATCCTTCTTCCTCCTTTCCCAAGCTCTGAGCTTTTAGGCATGCCCACCACACCCAGGATTGTGCAGTGTTGAGGACAAGATCCAGGGCTTCTGCATCGTGGGTGTACTTCATTACCTGAGCCATATTCCAGCCCTCATATTGCTTCTTTCTGCATTTTCCATGTTGACGTGTCTCTTATTTCTTTAGTTTTCATGACTGAGATGTTCTACCTATCTTCAAAACTAAATCTCTTAGGCCAGTTCCCAAAAGACTTGAATCTCAAAAAGAACGACCTCCACCTAGTATCTTTTCTTTATTCAACATTGTTTTTTACTGTGTGTGTGTGTGTGTGTGTGTGTGTGTGTGTGTGTGTGTTTACACAAGCCTGCAGAATGCTGCAGTCAGAGGAAAACCTTCAGGAGTCGATTCTTTCTTTCCATGTAGGTTCCAGACATCAAGGGATCAAATTCAAGTCATCTAAGTCAGTGGTTCTCAAAATGTGAGTGACGACCCATCAGTTATCCGGACGGCAGATAGTTACTATTCATAACAGGAGCAAAACTATAGCTATGAAGTAGCAGTGAGACAGCAGGAGCAATTGTATCAAAGGGTTGAAGAGTTAGGAAGGCTGAGCAAACAAATTCTGTCTAGGTATGTATTACGAACAATCGGATCAGGTGAGCATTTAAAAACAAACACTAGGGACTGAGCGTGTTGCTCCGGTGCTGCAGCACCTATCGAGGATGTAAGAAGCACCTGCATCCATTTCCAGCACTACAAAAACCAGGCATGGGAGCAGGCAGCTGTAGCCCTGACCTCAGAGGCAGAGGTGGAAAGAGCTGGAAATTCAAGGTCATCCTTGGCTATGTATTAACTTCTAGACTAACCAGTGATACATGAGATACTGTCTCAAAAATTAATTAACTATTTAAAAAAAGGACAAAATAGTAGAGTAACCAAATGAAAGAGCAAAGAAGTTTTAAAAATAATCCAATAAAATGAGGTGAAAAAAGCCTATCAATAAGATTACAAATATAATTTAAAGGGTATAAGTTGCTTGCTTGTTTGTTTTTTTTTTTTGAGACAGTGTCTCTCTGTATAGCCTCGGGTGTCCTGGAACTCAGAGAACCACTTACCTCTGCCTCCCGGGAGTGGGGATTAAAGGCTGCACCACCACTGCCCAGCTTGGGCATAGGTATTAATAGCAATCTCAAACCCCATAATGGAAACTATATGTAAATAGCACAAATAAAATTATTTTTAAATAAACAAAACATCACTGCAATGAAAATGCTTAAAAAGTAATTAAATTCACACAGCACATTTTTGTATTAAAAAAATATCCTGTAACTAACCATATTACTTTGAAATAAAATAGACAACATATAGTCTATTACCTAGTGTTCAGGATGAACAAAAAAATTATAACAGCACTTTGAAAAGGCAAACTTAATCAATAGGAGATTCTTATGCTGGGTATCGAGAAGCTAAATTATCCTGTCAATCACTTTATAATTAACTATTACAGTGTGCAAAGATGATGTGCCTAAGACTGCTGGGCTGGCCCTGGCCTGGAGTTTGGAACCACGAATTCCGAAGGCTCCTACAATGTGCTTCGCTATTTTCATTGGCACAAACAGTACGTGTAAGCTGTGTACTTGTATTCCTTCTGGAAGTCTAAAATGTTGGTCCACATTTTAGATGGTAGATAGATGGTGTCGATGTACCAACTCCCAATAAAACCCTGTGTCACTAATGAGCTTCTCTGGTCCAAAACGCTCTGTGCAAGCTGTGACAACTTACTGAAACAAGCACAGTCCTATGTAATCCCACTTAGAGGATTCTTAGGAACTGTGCTTCACAGATTTTATCCCATGCACTTTTCTCTCTGCTTATTTTCTTTGTACACTTTCATAATAATAAATCATATCATAACAACTATTATGCTGGGCCTTATGAGTCTTGCCACCTCTTCAAAGAACCTGAATGTAGGCTTGGAAACCCCCAAAAAACAGAGGTGAAATATATTCTTTATGTTAAGTCAAACTAAGGAACTAGTTTGCAGTGGGGAGATTCTAAGAACATCACAGAATCTCTCATCCATTCTGTTTCTACATACGCAGGTCACTAGATGAAAACTGTGTATAGAAAACTTTAAAGTACCTTAGGAAATAACATTTTGAATATCAACACTCTTGTCTTACAGTAAAAAACACTAGAAGTTCACATTCCTCTAAACCTGTAATTCTAACAAAACCCATTGACTCTGATATAATAAAAGCCCTTGAGATAAATTTAGAAAACAGAGCTGCTGTCTAAGGAATGTGGACAACTCTCAAATTATGTATGACTCAGAGCAAAAGGATGCGGAGCGCAGAACAGGCAAGGACACAAAGACAGGGGCGAAGGACTCCGCACATGAAGACCTAGGGAAAGTGGGAATGCCAAACTGAAAGCAAGAGAAATAGGAACAGGAAAACAAAGATACACATTCAACAAGAGATAAAGGGACACCCACAAAACACAAAAACAAACAAAAAAATAGAAACAAGCACATCAACAACACATAAAGCAGGCAAGGTGGTGTGCATGTGACTCACTCCGGAGCCTTGGGCCAGCGCGGGTCATACCACAATCTCCAGGACAGCCTGGGAAGGCCGCCTAGAAGAACAAGGAGAGTAGGGAAGAGGGGGGTGAAGGAAAGAGTGGGGAGGGGACTGGGGGCAGGGGGAGGAAAGGGAACAGAAGCATACGCTCTAGGGGGCAAATTATTAAAAACTTGCTCTAATGTAAGAATGTGCAGCAGGGCGTGCAGCGCACGTCCTTAATCCCAGCGCCTGGGAGGCAAAAGCAGGCAGGATACCCAGGACTACACTGAGAAACCCTGTCTTGAAAAACCGAAAGATAGATAGATAAATAGATAAATAACTGTTAACTGATACTAATTCTACCACTAACCCAGTATATTTTTCTTGCTAACAAAATAAAAAATAAACTTAACCCAGGAAAACTAGACCATCTTTCATATGTGCTATAGGAACTAACACATTCGATTCTATTACCACACACAGGAAAGAGAAGCAACAACAATTACTGATATTCAATCTGTGGCTCTGGGAAGCAGTTTCAGTTTCTGAGGTTACGTGGGTTTGTAGGGTGCTACCAGCACAGGTGGAGGCCAGGGAACTGTCATCAACTCCTTCAGGGACAGGTCTCTTAGTAACCAGGAGCCCACAATTAGGTAAGACTGGCCAGAGTGCTGGGATTAAAGACATGAGCCACCACTGCCCAGGTGCTCAGGCCTTTCTTTAAGCCCAGGCTCAGGAGGATCTCTATGAGTTCGAGGCCAGCCTGGTCTACAGAGTGAGATCCAGGACAGCCAGGACTACAGAGAGAAACCATGCCTTGAAAAGAAAAAAACAAGATACTCTCCAGCAAGCAAGGAAGAGAATGAGACGGCACCCTTCTGGTTTAGCTCGGGGTGAACTGTCACCCTGCTCTGCGATTGCGCTGTGACCTGGAAGGAGAGCGTTCGTCACCATCCCTACCGTGCCGAAGGTTACTGTGGGCTTTTATTGCAAACTATCAATACTGTTACAATCTAATAATACATACATCAAACTATACAACTTATTTTTAAAATAGTTGTTTAATAAGCTTACCCATAAAAGCATTAATAACTTAAATTAATAACTTAAATAACATTAAATACTTACCCAAAGCATGCCAGCATGCAGACTACAGGCCCAGGGCTGCTCTTCAATTCGTTCTCAGGAAAATCAGTATCAGATAACATTTCTTATTTCAATCGCCTGGCTAGTCAGTATACTGAACATTATAAACACAGAAAGTTCACTGAGTACAAACTTACTTTTCAGCAGAATCTTTACATCTCCATTTTCCTTCTTGATCTCACTCATTACTTTGTGTTTCTTTTTCTCTCTCTCTTTTTCTTTGTCATTCTCTTTAATTTTGTCTTTGATTTTATCTGAAAAGACAAAAATATTTAAAACTGTTGAGGGAGGCGGATCTCAGTGAGCTGGAGGCCAGTGTGGTCTACACATTAAGTTCAGGGTAGCAAGGGCAACACAGTGACACCTGATCACCCCAAAAAGACAAAAGAACAAAAGAACAAAGACAGAAACAAAATAAACATTATACACACAAAAACCATGATGACAGGAGAAAATTTGCCTTTTTTTTTCCTTTCTCAGTTTTAGGTCAAATTTCTACATTTCTTTCACTGAGCACACAATACAGATCAAAATTTATCACACATTTAATTTCAATGATTATTTTTCACTCATTTCATGTCAGCCAAAATGCAGGATTAACTCAAATTACAGAAAACCACAGGCTGTCTTTCCTGGAGCAGACAAGGAGGCTGCAAAGCTACTCCTCTGAGACCAAGCACATCCTACTGCTAACAAACACACATCCTCACAGGACTACCCAGGGGTTACATGAAGACAGAATGACTACAGAGAACTACAGGCAGACTAGATACCAGTTCCCTCGCCATTTAGGAAGAACATGGCTAGCTAGTAAAACTGTGATATCAAATTATCAGGCATAAGAACCAAGTGATCTATATCCTAAAAACTCCAAACAAAGCAATATGGCCTTGCCATCGATAGTTTCTTATTATCACAAAACTGTTGCAGTAAGAACATTTCCACACTAGCCCAGAATGGAATATGTAATAAAGGTTTATTTGTAACAGGGTAAACTCACAGAATTGGTAGCAATCCACAGTCCTGTGTGTGTGCTAGGAACCAGAACTGAATCCAGAAACCAAAGGGCTCACGCACGCACGCCCCTACTCCTCTGCAGTACAGCACACAGACCCACACCCAAAGTGGGCTAGTGTCCCGAAGGCCATTGCTGAGGAGTTCCCACAGCACAGAGCTATACTGGAGGCACACAATCTTGTATGTGAACAATCCCTTAAAAACTTCTTATTTTCTCTTCCTAAGTGTTACCCTAATCCAGCCCATAATCGTATGGTAACTGAGATGATGGTCTCAGTCACATCTCACCAGCAGAAATATGAGGTCGTTTGCAGATTTGCATTTCCCAGCAGCCACATTAGAAGCATAAGCAACAGGTGAAACTATGTTCAGTAATATATTGTACTTAACCCAATATACCCAAAACATCATTTCAATATGAGACTGATGTTTTTAAATTACTGAAATATCCTACATTCACACCTCTCCCTCTGTCTCTGTCTCTCTCTCTCTCTCTCTCTCTCGTGTGTGTGTGTGTGTGTGTGTGTGTGTGTGTGTGTCTAAGATTGGGGGGGGGCATGCACTAGAGGTCAGAAGACAACTTTGTGGAGTCAGTTCTTTCCTTTAACCTTTCCGTGAGGACTGGAGACGGAATCCAGGCCGCCAAGCCTGTGCAGCGCCTTTGCCTGCTGAGCTGTGTCAATGGCAGTGAGAAACTGAAAATCCAATCTTAACAAGGCACAGTACGAGAAAGTGAGGTTAAATGCTCAAAGACGGAAGTTCAAGGTTAAGCACTGCACGTTTGGTCACTACCAAGTTCCCAGGCCCCCTGGTCTTGGCTGCAAGGTTTACAGGTTGTCATTTCTCCATCTCTTCACAGGGAAGGGATTACGAGGGAAAACAGGACCTAATTGTTGTTGCTTTAACATACTGCTCCTGAAAAGACTGATTCTTCACCAGTTTTGATTATTTTCATGAGCAAGAATTTAGCCAGGTGTAGCGACTCTTCCTTTTAATCCCAGCACTTAGGCAGGGGCAAGTTCAAGGCAGCCTGGCTACACAGTGAGTTCCAGGGCAGTCAAAGTTCAGTAGTAAGACCCTGAACAAATAAATAAATAAGTATAGTTTTATCTTTCATAGTCTAACTTAACGTTTTGACCACTTTTCCTAGTTTGCCTTTTCATTGTAATCCTCAGAAGGACAGCAAGAATTACTCTGTTCTAAGAACAACCTGCCGCTGAAAAGTCAAACACAGCATAAGTACAGTTTTTTTTAGAAAGTGTTAAAAGTATCAAGACAGTTACTTTGATCAAGAAGAGATCAGAAGAACAAGAGTGGCGCTCAGAAGGCTCCCAGCTCCCAGCAGCAGTGCTGGGCAATGGAGGAGAAGTCATGAGAAAGACCACAGCTGTGCTCAGGCTCCCCCCAGAGACAGAAGATGTACGGAGAGGAGCACAGAGGAGACCTGACCAGCCAGGTCACTGGAGCTCTTCAGAAGACACGATGGAGACCAGAAAGCAAACCACGGTCAGTTACTACTACTAAGTGCAGCTCCCCTAAAGATCAGCAACAAAGCCAGATTCTAAAATGCACCAAAGACCTCACAATAAAAAATATACAGTAGTCTGGGCAGTGGTGGCTCACGCCTTTAGTCCCAGGATTTGGGAGGCAGATGCAGGAGGATCTCTGAGTTTGAGGCCAGCCTGATCCACAGAGAGAGTTCCAGGAAAGCCAGCTACACAAAGAAACCCTGACTCAAGAAACCCTGTCTCAAAAAGCAAAATAAAATAAAATATATCCACGCAAAGATACGTTTCACATCGCGTGTCACTGGGACTGAGTTACATGACGTCCTACATAACTATGAAATCGGCCAAAGTCCGGAACACTAACAGCATCACTAATGGCAGGAAGCAAGTCGGACAGCAGGAATTTTCATTCGTTCCTATGGGAATGCAAAAAGACATGTGGGTGTTTCCTTATAATACCACACATACTTTCATAAGAGTAAATAAATCTCACTGCTTAGTTTTTATCCAAAAGAGCTAAAAACTCCTCCAGCAATCAGGTCACTGCTGACCTGCACCCGGCTGCCAGGTGGCTGTGGTGGCCAGGCGAGATGTCCTCATGACTTCTCTTTGTCATCACAGTACGGGTGAGGGATGAACTGCCCCTCTCAGCCTCCACTGACTTTTAGCAGGCCCAGGAGTTTCTGGAGGGTGGGGTAGGCAGTTCAAAGCCTTCACCCACAGGCTGGCTCAGTGTCCAGGCTGAGGTTCTGCAGAAAGTGTGACTCCCTTATCTATTTTTCATCATGGGGATGTGGCCTGCATGGCCAGTGTCCAGCACCCATGGCCTTCTACTTTTTGGAGACTCTGTGGAAGGACTCCGCAGCTTCCTATGACACCACAGGCATTGGCCCAGCCTCGTGGCCCGGCCTGACAGTGCCATTCAGAAAACAAAGCGGCATTTTACCCACATGAGCTCCTCCCAGGTGAAGAGTGGCTTAGAAAAGAGGTTCTGAGCTCCGGCCTCCAGCAGGTCCCAGTGCACTCTGAGCCGACTCTGGACCACCGGGTGGAGTTGGTGGCGACATGGGTGTCCTCGGTGTCCTCCCCGTCCTGTCCCCGCCTCACAGAACATTCTTTACAGGTCACCAGGAAGAAGAAAACATCCCGGCCTTCTTCATCCCTTCCGCAGCCTGAATCATCCAGTGTTATCTGAACCTGTTCTGCAGTCCAGCCAGGACTCGGAAGGTGGTGCTGATGATGACCTTCATCTTCATCTTCATCTGGGCAACACGTACCTGCACCTGCACGAGCTGAAGAGCACCTGGCAAATCTTCCACCTAGGAGTGGCTTTTCTGTAGGAAGCTCTGTCCAACCTACAGTCCTCCCGTGGTTACATGGTTGTCATTAAGGACATGAATCTCCAAATCTGCCTAGCCAGTCCCTGCCAAACTCCACACCTTCATTTCTTTAAGGTACTTATAACCAAATCATCTTTCATCCTCTTTCTAGAGGAAGGGTGGAGAGAAAGAAACAAGGTTAACAAAGTACATGCAACATGAAGGGGAAGAGGGTTAGTGTGGGAGGAGGCAACATCACAGGTGAGAATCAACAAAAATATATGTGTGAAAACGTCCGAACAAAATCCATTCATCTGCTTATTAGTTTTTAAAAAGCTAAAACTGTGAGTGTCTCAAAGGGGCAACATATTAATTAAATCTCTTCAAAATAATTGATCACATCACTCTTTTGTGTAGAACAAATTAAACAAATTCTCCTTGCTTCTGTCTAACTAAAAGAAGAAAACATCGTTGGTGTCAGCAGGCCCTAGAAGTCCCACTACACGGACTGGGGAGATAGTTAAAGTGCAGGCTTGGAGACAGGGTATAGCTGCGCCTCACAGAAGAGCAGGGGGCAGAGAGGAGGAGACTCCAGACACTCTCTGTTCTCCCATATGTTCTTTGGAGGACTGCAGGGTAGAGAATGGTTGTCATCTTAGGAATAGTCCTACATGTCTGACATGTGAACACACTAGTTTGCACAGCAAGAAGGATAACTGAGTGCGTCCCTCACAACTCAGAGCACCTGGACAAAGGGAGGGCTGCAGGTCTGGCAGAGCTGTTTACACTGTGCACCAAAAGCAAGCAAAGCAAAGGCTGTTCTTCCAAATAAGGCCCAGAAACTCGCTGTTTTCTCTGAAGTTTTCAGCTGTTACACTGGGATGCCGTTCAAGAATTTATGAGGTCAATACTTAACTTTTCTGTCTTTTCTTCCTCTACTCACCAATCCCATTCCAGATTCCTTGCTCATATGTGGTATCTCAGCATTCTGCTAATTACACTTAAGAACGCCTTTGCCAACTCTGTCTGCCAAAATCATATATTCCTTTTTCGAGAATTCCTTTATCCCTACCAATTAAAAATGATTTTATGTCAGGCAGTGGTAGCGTACACATTTAATCTCAGCACTTGGGAGGCAGAGGCAGGCAGATCCTTTGAGTTCGAGGCCAGCCTGGTCTATAAAGCAGGTTCCAGGACAGCTAGGACTGTTACACAGAGAAACATTCTTAAGAAACCAAAGGGGGAAAAGAGAGGGAGGAAGGAAAGAAGAGACAGAGGGAGAGAAGGAGAGAGGAAGGAAGGGAGAGACGGAGGGAGGGAAGGAAGGGAGAGACGGAGGGAGGGAAGAAAGAAAGGAAGGAAAGTAGGAAGGAGGAAGAAAACGAGACTGTGATCCTCCTAGACGTGATGGAGAACACAGCTAGAGGCAGAGACGTCTCGTACATGGTGGACATGACCAGCAGACTGAACCGGACCATGTGGAAGGGGGGAGAGGAGAGGACAGCCAGGAGGCAAAGAGGTCAAAGGGCAAATTGGGCTGGCATAAGAATCAGAGTAGTTTGGGTAGGCTCCAGGTGTGCTGGTCAGGACGACCCTGTAACAGGTAGGGACTGAGGGATGCTGGGAGAATGGGATGGGTCTTCTCTGATATGTTAGTAGGCACCTCGCAGTTTGAAACCTAACTATCTATCTCTATTAGTTTATGTTATCACTCTCCAATTAAATTACAAACAGTTTAGTTTGCATTCCCCGCCCCCAACAGCAGGCAACACATCTGCACTTGTTTAATTCCTGTAAGGTACAAGCAGAAGGACAAACAGGAAAGTCATAATACAAAGTAAAAAAAAAAAAAAAATGAAAGATGCAGAATTAGCCAGACATGTGGTGTGCACCTTTATTCTGCACAAATTCTAATTGTTCTTAATAATAAAAACCCAGAGTCAGATATTAGAGCGTGAAAGCTGAGAGGTGAAGAAGCAGAACAGTCAGTCACTAGAGAGTTCTTACCTCTACTGATGCTCAGACAAAATGGGCATCCTGTCTCCATGCATCCTCAGACTATGTCTGAGCTTCTGTCCCCTCCACCTTCTATTCCTGCCTCCACCTCCCTAGGATTAAAAGTGTGCGACCCCAAGGGCGGGATCACCTTTGTGTGAGCTCTGTTTCTCTTTTAGACAGATTCAATTTCGTGTAGCCAGGGTGGGCTTGAACTGGACGAGATCCGGAGATCCTGCACGCCACCACTGCCTGGCCTCTTTGGCTAACTAATGCCTTAGCTCTGCACTCTGATCTTCAGGCAAGCTTTACTTGTTAGATGGCAAGCAAATTATCACTATACCTTTACCCAGCACTAGGGAGGCAGAGGCATGTGGGTCTCTGAGTTTGAAGCCAACCTGGTAATGTAGTGAGTTCTAGCAATGTCAGGGCTGCATAGTGAAACCCTGCCTAAGATTAAAAAAAGGGATGTTGGGGTGGGGCGGGGCATGTTACTAGGAATATAAAAAGAAATCTTCCCCATGAAAAGACAGTTGTAAGGCAGACAGTAAAGCACCTGACCCTTCCCCTTCCTCTAAATGTTCATGCAGGCAGGCATGGTTTGCTGAGGGTAAGTGATCTTTAAATCAATGACACTTACGTGTATTTAGAACTGAGCCAGGTGGAGGTGGCCCACGCCTTTAATCTCAGCACCTGGGAGGAAAAGGAAGGCGGGTCTCCAGCCTGGTCTATCGGGTGAATGAGTTCTAGGAGGGCCAAAGTTACAAGAAACCCAGCCTCGGAAAAATAAACAACAAAAAGACTACAGAGCCTGAAACATCCAGCTCCGTCCAACCCAGCTCGCGGGCCTTGTAAAGCGCTGGCCTGAGAGTCCCGGAGCTGCTGCTCTGGTGCTCACGAAACCCAGGCTGTGCGGACCTCTGGGGGGTCGTCCGCTGCTCTCTCTCCCGGTAAATGGTAACAAGTAGCGCAGGCAGTTACTCCTACAGCAACAGTGACAACAACCTATGCTTCCTACAAAGTCTCTATCACTGACTAGTCACGAGCAGGAAGGCTGGAGTCAGAGGGATGGCTCACTGCAGGTCAAGGGGATCAAATACCCCCTCTGACCCGTACAAGCACCAAGCATACTTGTACACACACGCCTGCAAACAAGCACTCACACGCTATTTGGTTTTCCTAGGCCTAACACACCTGGAAAGACCGTGTCTCCAAATGATTGACCTGTGGGACACTGTCTTAAATAAGCAACTGATGTGAAAGGGCCCAGCCTCTGTGGGTAATGTGACCCTTGGGCTGGGGGTAAGCAGCACTCCTCCATGGTTTCTGCCTTAGTTGCTGGACTATAAGGTGAACTGTAAGCCAAAATAAAACACTTCCTCCCCCAGGTTGCTTTTGGTCATGATGTTTTACCAAAACAGAAATAACATTTTCTTTGAAATAGAAATCCTAAGACACAAATATAGAATAAACATCGTCAAAACAAACAAAAGAGACAAAGCAAAGCAGCTGCGGGAATGCGAGCCGCAGGGGGGGGGGGGGGGGCAAATTTTATTTCGCTTAAAATGTCTCTAAGTAAAAACTCTTAGGCAATTATACATACACACACGCAAAAGAAAAAGTGTGTGTGTGTGTGTGTGTGTGTGTGTGTGTGTGTGTGTGTAACTGGCTCAAGCATTCAAAGCCCATAAGAAGGTCTCGTGCTCGTCTGAGAACAAACAGAAACCTGCTAAGATATGGAGAGAAGCTGGCAAAGGCCCCATGGGTGAAATGCTGGCTGCACAGGCACAAGGACTCAAGTTTAACTGGAGAACCCACACAAGGTCAGCATGGCAGCTCAACACCTCAGACTCTCGTCTGGCCTCAATATGTGTGCCATGGTACATGCACACACTTACACAAACATGCATACATCATAGTCACGCATGCAAATTTAAGGCATGGGGGAGGGTCAGTTTAGTGTCTTGCCATCTCTCACAGGGTAACAGGACATGCACTGAGTTGTCCTGGCTCTCCTATGTGGTTCCTTACTCCAGACACTGAAGCAGCAGAAGCATCACAAAGTCAGTCCCAGGCCAGCGAGGCTACAACATGATAGAACACTGACCAAGGCACCTTTGGCTCCCGGGCTGCACCCATCATCAGAGGCAGGAACAGAGTGATGAGGAAAGTTCTCTTCCACAAGCAGGACCACTTGCCCAGAGGTGGTACAAGCCACTGTGGGCTGGGTCTGTCCATAGCAACCATTAATCAAGAAAATGCCCCCAAAGACTTGTCCACAGGCCAATCTGATCTAGGCAATTCATCAACCCAGGTTTCCTCTGGTTTGTGTCACATTGAAAAAACAAAACAAAACAAAACAACAACTAATGGCACACGAAGGTCTAGCCTTCAAAATCATAAAATGTTCAAGTTTACAAGAACCTTGAGCACCGAGCCCCAACGTCTCCTTGTAGCGATGAGACAAGTTTTACCCCTCTTCTAAGGCAAGGATTCAGACAAGGGAGACAGTTCAGTTAGCAAACGCTCACTGCACAGGTAGGAGGCCCTGAGCTGGGTCCCCAGCATCCATACATGAACAGTCCAAGCACGGAAATGTAAGCTTGGGATCCCAATGCTGGGAGGGAGGAACAGGCTTCCCCCTCCTACCCCCTTCCAGCTCTCTGTCCAGCCAGCCTAGCCTAAAGCACAAGCCCCATCCCAGTCCCATTTTCTGAGAGCTTGTCTGAGAGCAAGTAAATGGGGGGGGGGGACCTCCTGAAAAACAATTCTAGAGGTGGTTTTCTAGTCACTACAATGCCACCACACCACCAGCATCACCACCTACACCCTTCCCCAGTACACGCACGCACGCACGCACGCACGCACGCACGCACGCACACGCACACGCACACACGCATCTCAAGATTTCAAGGCCAGTCATGGTGGGTCACACCTACAATCCCAAC